CAACTGGTTCTCAAACCCTTACACAAGGAAGGTCGCTGAGTCCTCAGGAAAGGTCTAGACCTGCTGGGGCCACGTGATGGCACCACACCCTCCAGGCCACCACACCCGGCCCATCAGCAGAGGGGGAGCCGGAGCTGTGGTCACAGACAGAGCTCCCGGGAGGAGTCCACTCAGCTCCATGTCAGTGGGCAGGCCCTGCGGGCTGACCGCACTCTGTGCTGCAGTGGACAGTGTGGCGGTGGAGGAGCAGGAGCGCGAACGGCGGCGGCAGGTGGTGGAGAAGTTCCAGAAGGCGCCCTTCGAGGAGATTGCAGCTCACTGCGGGGCCCGGGTGAGTGAGGCACACAGGGCGAGCCCTCGGGGGCAAAGGGTCCAGGGCCGGACGGGGTTGCTAGATCTTGGCACTTTAGTCACCCAGAGATTAGGGTTGTGATGCCAGTAGCACCCTGGCCCTACATTGCTTCCCCATGAACCAAAAGACTTGGCTATTGGCCATCCAGGCCTCCAGACCTCGCACTTTTCATGTAAGAAAGAAGTCCTGACCTCAGGAGCTCCTGCATCAGACAGACAGACTATCATAATTATTATCATCATGGCAAGTGTGTACCTAGCGCTTTATCTGTGAGGTGCGCCAGACATCTTACATCTGTTAGTTTATTTCATTCCCATGACTACTCTGTGCGGTTGGTGCCAGTATGTCCGTCACATTCCGGAGTGATGGGGAAAGAGCCCATGGGGAAGGAAAGATGGCCACTGTTTGCAACAGGACCCTGCAGGCAGGGGGTGAACAGCGGGCCTGGAAAAGATCTGAGAGAGGGGGCCCCGGACAAGGGGAAAGAGGGGCTCGTGTCTATACTTAAGGGAGGGGCACAAACATTTCTTGAGATTGATTTTCTATGCGAGGATTTGCTAGTCACGGTGTTCCTCTTAGTCACAATGAAATATACTTGTAAACATCCAAAAGTTACAAATAACTCATACTTGATTGTACTTTTTCCTCTCAATAAAAACACGTCTTTTTATTATACAATATATATTTCTAATATACATATATATTTCCAATTATTATAACTATATATAATAATATATAACTACATGTAAGTATAATGTCGATTTGGGGGGCCTATATTATCCTGACCTCTTGTCCCATCTCAAGAGGTAGATGCTGCTCATTTCATGAGCTCGGAGTTGAGGCCCAGGTACAGAACACGTGCCCAGCTCCCTCACGCAATCGGAGCCAGAAGGGACCAGAAGGCACATCTTCCCTAAACCACCAATTTTGCACAGCTGCTTCTTTGGAGTTCAGAGCTGGCACCAGCTCTCAGCCTCCTGACTCATGCCCAGCAGGCGCTACCGTCCCACTTGGAGGAGCTAAGGGTCCTTCAAGAAGCGCCTGCTGAAGTCCTCCTGGTGCCCCAGCAGGCCGTGGCCGGGCGGCTCTGCCTGACCTGAACCCACAGCCCGGGTCCACAGACAAGTGCTGGGAACGAGCTCCCACCATTCCCTTCCTGAGGCTGCACTGCCCAGACCTCCAGTGTGCGCTCTGGACGGGTGAGCTCATGACCACCCGCAGCGGTGCGGGAACCCCAGCTGACTCCCCCTCTGTTTGTGTCTAGGCGTCACTGCTGCAGAGCAAACTCAATCAGATCTTTGAAATCACCATCCGGTAAGTGGCAGCCCTGGCCCGGGGACCCCTACCTCTGTGGCCCAGCGTTGGGCGCCCTCCTCCCCAGACTTCCTCTCACTGTCTTCAGTCCTCCTCTCCCCAGGCTCTGTCTCCAGGGCTGGAGTCAGCCACCAACTCTCCCCAAAAAGGAAGTTGAGACTAGAGAGGACAAGAGATGGCTCAGTGAACCCCGGAAAAGAGTCAGGGGTCCTTGTTTCCCAGGCTGAGACTTGACTTTCTAAAGCAACATTGTCACTGTTGAGCCTGCCATGGAGCTGTAGATTCTAGAACAACTTGAAACCTGGGAACCCACAGAGTGACAAAGGCTCTGGTCCCTGTTCAAAGAGAAACACAAATCAGCTGCTCTCTTTGGTTGCATGGGGTGGGACCCGCTCCTCATCCCTTCCTCCTCCATGTGCTCCTGCCCAGGCCCCCGCCCAGCCCATCGGGAACCATCACCGCAGCCTACGGCCAGCCTCAGAACCACTCCATCCCCGTCTACGAGATGAAGTTTCCAGACCTGTGTGTATACTGAATTCCAAGAGGTGGAGCTGCTTGGAGGGGTGGGCCTGAGGGAGGGGCTCACCCTCACACCCCACCCCTACTACGTGCAAGTCTAACAGGGATCTCAGAAAAGGTCACCTTCCCACCTAAACAAGGTAGAGCCCCAGACCCTCCCGCTTCCCCTGTGTCTCCCCTGAGGGGTTGGCTACCTGCCCCTCTAGGACCAATAAGCCTCTCAACTGTTCCCTTTAGTCTCCTTTGTGTCAGCGAGGGGCCAAGAACCGGGGGCCTGAGGTCCTGCAGCTCCTGCAGCTCCCGCGGGGTGTGGTGGTGCAGCAGGTGAAAGACTTTTATGGTGGGGGTGGGAGGGGGCACAGCTGCCATCCCCTGAGGCGGGGACTGGATGGAGACACCTGTTGGTCCAAGGACGCTGTAGACAGCGATCTAGAGAAAGCCAGGGGAGAGCTGGAAGCTGGGGGGCCGTTCTCCTCAGAGCACCCCCGCTCCGTCCCGACGCCCTCAGGTCTCCTGCGTCTCTTCCACTCCCCCGCTCGCCCTGCCAGCTTCTCTTAGTGATTCTTTCTATTATTAATGGATGTTGAGCCCTTATAACAGGAGCTGGGAGAGACACATGGGAGGGGGGCAGCAAAGGATGACATGAAGGGCAGGTGGCTGCTGGTGGAGGGGCCTGCC